AAGTACAGAAACAGATTATACTGGTACTACAAAACCTACAGCTGAGAAACTAAATGCATGCTAAGATGTTCAGAAGCTTCATGTTGAGTTTAGGAAATTGGCATCTGGTTTAAAACGTAGCTTATGAGTTGCCTAAATTTGGAGCAAAAATAAAATAATGTAATAAAGACTGTCTGTGGTGAAGAGGAGAATGGACTGAGTTTGTAACTTAGGCTAATGGTGTCTTTTTTGAATGCCTTTTTTTTTTTTTAACAGTTGTTTAATAGGAGAACCATAAATAGCCCAGAGAAGGAAGAGTAGGCTGAGAGCTGAGATTCCATCTCTGGTTAAAAACTTGCAAACCTTCACAGTTTGATTTGAATTTTTAATTTTCAAAATACTGCATCAACTTTCAAGTGAGCTTGTCTAAATTCTAGGTTCTGTGTATTTAGGAGAACATCTTGCAACACGAGGAAAAAAAGCTGAGAAAACAAACTACTGAGTGAGTTGACATAGTGTTAGCTTTCCAAGAAGTGCGCAGCATCAAGCCAGCTAAAATATTTAGGTTTTAGCTTCTGGGGTTTTGCTGAAACTGCTGGAGTTTAAGAGAAAAGGATGAAGAATTAATGCTTTCAGTTTTCAAGTAATTTCTTAACAAGATATTTTCATTTGATCTTTTTGACTTCCGAGCAAAGTATGAAAAAGCATCACCTTCTCATTTCAATGTAAAATAGTATATTGTTCTTAAATAAAAATACTGCTGTATGCTGAAACTATTGAAGACCAAATGTATTTGATATTGGCTACAGCTGCTGTTAGAGGGATGTTTTATTTGTCAGAGAACAGATATTTTGGGGGTTCTTCCATCAGCTGTATAAGGCCAGTAACTTACTGCCTGAATTCCTTCCTCTGGTTTCTTAAATTACTCTAGGTTTCAATGTAAGAAGAAAAGTAATTTATAATATTGTACAAACAGAAACTTTTTTCCTGATGGTGATCACTGATCTCTGACTTTCCCTTATGGTTTTAGGCTTAGTATTTTTCTTTGTACTGTAACAGCAGTGGAAAAAATGTGGTTTGATACTTTTTGACAATGAAACAGTTCAATTTCTTTAGGTTTTAGAGAAACCTTTGAACAATAAAACACTAAATGGTCAAATGTGTTTTGAAAATATTGTCTACATTGACTTTTTTTGTGTACACAATGTTTACAAATCAGCTTGTCATAGAATAGAGTATCTCGGTTGAAATGGACGTACAATGATCATCTAATCCAACTGCCTGACCAATTCAGGGCTGGCCAAAAGTTAAAGCATGTTGATAAGGGCATTGCCCAAATGCCTATTAAACACTGACAGGCTTGCGGCATCAACCATTTCTCTAGGAAGCTTGTTTCAGTGTTTGACCACCCTCTCGGTAAAGAAATGTTTCCTAATGTTCAGTCTAAACCTCCCCTGGTGCAGCATCTAATGTTTTCTTTAGACTTCCTTTTGCTATTAATTTATTTAACAAAGCTCTTCTTGTCAGATATAGCACTGGCCAGTTTCAACTCTAATTGAGCTTTGGCCTTTTTTCCTACATACACATTCAGAAAGGCTGTCTTGAATTTCTGGAGCAGCTTCTACAGTCACTTGCAAATTTTGATTCCTTCCTCCTTGTAAGGAAAGAAGTGAAATTTAAAATATAAATGGGATTTTTGTGTAGCATAGTAACATGTTTTTGACAAAAAGTCCTAATTTTGTGATGAAAAGATTTAGCTTTCAAATTATTGTATATTTGGGGGGGGCGGGCAAATACCAAACTTGAGATAAGTCAAAGTTTAAATAAAAATAGTTTGTTAAATTTAATCTTGCAAGCTCATTCCCAAGTACTTAGGAGGCAAGAACTCTGAAAAATCAAGTTAGAATATTTCTAAGTTCCTGATGCCTTAAGGGACATTTGCTCTTCTAAAGTCTGGGACAGGTGGTGACCACCATTGGTGGTACTGTAAGAGGCTAACAAGTATTTTCTCCTTTGCAAGTGCCTTTCAGGGTGAGATTAAATTTGATGTTGCTGCTGTTGTGGTTTTTTGTTTGTTTGCTTTTAAGTAATAAATATCTGAACAGTTGATCAATGCTTTGAAGTGCTGCAAGTATGCCAAAGGTATAACTGTTAGAAATCTAAATCTAATTTCTTTTGTTTCAAAGTACAGGCAGTCATATAAAACAAGTACCAGAAGGCCAAATTACACATTCCTCTCCAAATACATGAAAAGTGCTAGCTCTGGTAGTGTTAGAGATGTAAATGTTTTAAATGACTTAAGTTCTTGCAAAGAATTTTAACTTCATTACATTTTTGAAGGATGGGTTTCAGGAGTTCACGTATCTTTTATAGCAGCCTCCATAACCTAGACATTTGGTTGAAGCAACTGTGAGAAACTGACTCCTTTGAACCGTTCAACTAGTATTTCTTAAAATAATTGAAGCTTTTGAGGTCTCAAGTACCATAAATGAATACTAATACTGTTCACTGGGAGCCTCAGGACTGAACTACTTTGTAATACTTCTACTGGGAAAAAATTTACAGTATCATGGTTGGAACCTATGTTCTTTGCTCAAAAACTGCTATGATGAGTTATGAAAGTAAAAGTTTACTTCTACATACATAATTTCTTTCTAAATAATTTTAAAATTAACTAATTACCTCCTTTGATTTTGACATATTATATTAATTTTAAATTAAAGGTATTATAACAGCCACCTCCTCTGACAGTGTCATCTCCTCAGTAAGGGATTTTTGTTGGTAGTTCTTAATACGAAACTACAGTTTTCATGTCTTCATGTGGTAAAACTGCCTTTTCAGTTGGGCTCTCAGTTTTTTGTGGTTTTACAACAGAGTTTTACTTTGCTGTGGAATTACAAGGGTCCTGTAGTTCCCATTTTTGTATTACATACCTGAATTACGGAGGCAGAAAAATCTTAATCTCTGTTTACAAGCTGAGTTTAGCAATAAGATATTTGATTTTGCATTATGGAGATTGCTAGGTGGAGGTGGCAGGGAACTACTACGGTTCTCCACTCTTACGTATTCCTAAGTAAATTATTCCGTCTAGGCCTCTGTTGTTCCTTAGAGCACCAGAATCATTGGAGTACTGCGTGTGATGCTGCTATCTTGTAGTAAGTGTAGGAAGAGAAATGGTCTCTGCCAAGAATTAGTCGCAGTCAAGAGAGGAAGACCTGAATTCATCCTACTTGAGGTGCTGAAGTCTGAACCACAGGTTCCATAGGGTTCTCACCATTTTCCTAGGATAAGTACAGACTCTGCCACAGATGGGTTTAGCCTTTTTGTAGTAGGAAAAACAGAAGTACCAAAGTTTTCCTGCTGTCTTGTACAGTGAAGAAAGACAAGAAGGGAGACCTGGTGCTACAGGCTGCTTCTGAGGCTATCCACTCCCATAGAAGCCCCTCAGTAAAACCTTGCACGTCCTTTGGTGGCTCACGTGTTCTTCCCTGTTTAGACAGAACTTGATAGGGATCTATATAACCTGCTACCACTCATTCGTTTATCACTTGCATACTTGAGTGTGGCTTCTACACTAACACAATTCTATATTCGTTTAGCTGTTAAAATGTTTTGTAACCTTACTGTAACTAGTAGACGTGGTTCCAAGCAATCTTTGATTTCTTTGGGTTATCATTGGCAAGGAAGAATGTCTTTCGTGCCAGAAACTCCAGAAAATTTTCCTGGCCTTCTCAGTACTGCTGACTAAAGCACCAAGTTCTATTTCAAATAGCAGTCTGGATTCAGTCGTCAGTGTGTAGTGTGCCTAGCACTGTGTTGTGGGCCAGCATCTGTGTTCTGGGTTTGTTGGCACAAAAGCAGTAACCATTTGGTTTTAATGAAAAAAGGAAAATAAGGCTGGCAAGGGAAATGTTTTTAAGAGGTAGTGAACTATGTTTTTATTTTTCTGTATTCAAAACAGAGGGCATTTTAGCTAATTATGTTTTCTAAACATAATCAAACAGTATATCCCAACTACAAAAAAGAACATAAATGTAAATTGAAAGAAGTTGGAGGAAATGCAACATTATTAACGAGGGAAAGTTGACTGTAATTCCTTTCTTTACCCCGTGCGTTACTATAATGTAGCAACACCAAGAGGTTCAAATTGCTTGCAAAACTTCTGTTTCCCTACCACTGCAGTACTGAAAGGCTAGGATTTGATAGGTAAATAACAAAAAATATGTCTGTGGATGACAGCTGTGTAGTTGGAATATTGATTACAAGGTGTAAAATCACTTAAGATACTCCAATCCATATCTGTAGATTGTCTGAATGAGAGTGATGATGGTGATTCGAGGAAATGACCAATAGGAAGAAGGGGAGATGCAGAAACCAGAGATACTTACTTTGCTGGGTGGCAAGGGCATAGGCAACATATCAGCAAATGCGTTTTGGTGTTTCCCTCTCCCTTTTGGTCTCCTTTCAAAGAATACGTGTATGTATCTGCATTAGCAGGATTTTGATCCAAAACTTTTGTTCTTGTGGGCATTGACTATATCATAGATTACAATTTGGGTTTGAAATTAGTACGTCCGAAATATTATCAAGTTCTACTCATTCTTACAAAATATTCAGAGAGGGCTTTCAAAAGGCATAACCTGTGCTTTTGTAAAGCACCAGTCCTATTATGCTTCTTAAAAGAAAGGATTTGTGAGCATCTCTTCCAAGAAAAGATTCAGAATTGCCTTGTGGTGCTGAGTAATGGGAACTCAAAGGTTGCCCCTGTCTGTGGCTACAGTGAGGGGCATTACCCCCCCCACCCCCCCCCAATGCCTCCTTTGTATCAGTGTCTGGTGCAGCTCACTCTTCCCTTTGTATACTGTATAAATGTTAAGGTGCGTAACTCGGGTGGGATTGTGCTCGATTGTTCTTGGTTGGATTTCAGAAGCTACATAGCTGAGCAGTCCCTGACCCTTGCTGGATCTGTCTGTAGGTGTTTGTTTCCAAAAATAACCAGGATCATCTTTTTTTCTCTCTAGAAAAGTTGATTGCATATCAACGGGAGTTTCATGCTTTGAAGGAGCGTCTTCGTATAGCTGAGCATCGCACTCTTCAACGGTCTTCTGAGCTGAATGCTATCTTGGAGCAGTTCAGGCGTGCAGTAGCAGAAACAAATGGGAGTAAGAATGCAATGAATAATTTTTCAGGTACATACTGTGATTGAGCTATTTTTTTATAATGCTGCATTACTAATATCTCTTCTTATTGCTATAGAATAAGAGATTAATATCAAGAAAGCTGAATGAAACTGTTCAGCAGTGCAAATGAAGAATCTGTAATATGTTATATCTGGTGGGGATTTTGTTGGGTTCTGTTCCAATTTCTGTTCTTAATGATCTACTCTCTGTTCATTCTTATGACTTTAGGGACTGAATACTTATTCCACGCCTAGCTCCAAAAAAAAAAAAATAAAAATTGGAACTTCTGGTTACTTATTTAACATACTGAATATATTTTGACAATAATTTACATCACTTTTTAAATGGAGCTTTAGGGGAAAGGTAAGCAAACAGAAGAAATGGATAAACTTGAAGCAATTAAAATATCTTTAAAAGTCAGCTGGAAGATGTAAAAACATACAGGCGAAGGTATTGGTTATGATCTGTAAAATGTTCAAATAATGTCCTTTTTAATAACTAGTGATTAAATGGTACATTGGTAAAGTCTTCTGTAAGTTTTTACCCATTTTGAAGGCTGATGCTCAAGTTTACTGAAAGCTGTGTTTGGCAATATTTGAGGATGCTACCAGATTGTTGAAGTTAACTTTTAAAATCACACTACTTCTGCTTTAGTCACTCTGATTTTTCTAGATGGAAAATTAAAAATAAATATAAACTTCCTGGTGAGAGGTCTGGTTTAGTAGGTTGCAGAAATTTCACTGTATTGGCCTAATGAGGAAAAGAGTTTTGCAAATCAAAAAACTATCAAGTTTTTTGAATCTGTTGTCTATTTGCATTTGTGCTATGGGTTACTTTTTTTTTGGGGGGGGGAGGGTGGAGAGGGTTGAGGGAGTGGTTGTTATAATTATAGACCCTCTGTGCTGATATTAATGATGAATTCCTGTGTCTGACACTAATGGCTTATCCAACCAGATCTCCATGGCTCACTGGATCTCCAGGAATGGTGTGGATAAAGGTTACATTTAACGTAGTCTATGACTCTTGTCTTCCTCTTCTGTATGTATGTTCTTGCAATTAAAGTGAACAATAGAGGAAGTGAAATAATTTTGATACTGGATTTATCATTAAGTTATCACATTTATTTCTAAAAATCAGTTAGCTTGCTTATAGACAATATAGTTATAGAGAGTTACTCTCTTCTGATGCAGTTGAAGTTACTGATTCACATTTTCAACATTCTACCATGTCTGGATCACAACTGGGACATGCTCTTTTTTTCCATGTGGAACCATGATGGGAGGTCAGCTGAAGTCTGAATTCCTGAGCTTTTGTGCTCAGAACTTAGTATTAGATAGATTTTATTAAGCTTAACGTACTTAAGTATACATAATAATATGTAATATTTGCTGTCTTTGAAGATAAAAAAAATCCAGGTTGTTTTATGTAGATCATTATTCATTCATACAAAGAGCTGTCTTACTTTGACAGACTTTTTAGTCCAGCTTTTGTGGTTGAAGCTAAAGGAAATGTTAGTAGGAAAAGTAAAATGTACCTGTACTGGAATCTGTCAAAATAAGCGTCTCTACTTATGACATCTATTTACAAAGTTTTTTTCAAGATTATGAGTGGTTAGGAATTTAGTTTCACCAAAAAATAAATATTAAAAACCAAACAACAAACCAAAGTCCACAACAAAACCCTTCTGTTGTTGTAGAAGCCACACTCAGAATCTGAGAGGAATGATGTTTATGGTGTTACTTTTCTCACTTCTTCACAATTCAGTTTTATCTTGGAGTACAGTTTTTTACTTTACTTGGTACTGTAAAGCCCATAGGTTTTCAAAGGTCCATCTGCTATCATATTTGTCGTTTGAAATAAGAGTTGTTTTCACACTTGATGTAAGAAAATCAACATGCGCAGCAGGGGAATTTAAAAACTGTTATTAGCAACTTTGAGAGCCACCTGGACATCCTGAGATGCAGTTACTCTAGAAAGAGCAAGAATTATTTTAAGTACTCTAATTGACTAACTTAAATTCATGTTAGCATTTATTTTATTGCAGAAATACTCAAAATCTCAATGGTATATTTAATACTATTTTCGGTTTGTATCTGTATGTGCAGTGTATTCCAATATGTATTTGTAGCTTTGAAAAGTTATTTGCAGTAGCATCACTATATGATGATAAGCTCTGTAAGTGTAAGTAAAAAAAATCTGGGTAAATAAACCTCCCATTTTGATTAATTGGGGGGAGAACCCCAAACACCTAAATAAATGGAGCATTCTTTACTTCTGTGATTACACACTAAGTCTTATGTGGTCAGGTAAGTATTAACTATATCTGTAGCAAGGTTACTGGGTTGAAAATAATCTTGGCCGAAAAGATGTCCTTTATACACAAGATATAATGCCTCAGTAAAATGCATCATTTGTTCTGTTTTTCAGTTAGGACCAAGCTTGGAATTTTGTACTATTTACCACTGCATAAAACTTCATATTATTTGTTTTCTGCATTACTGATTTCATGTATGTTTGCAGATGAGACACTGAAATTGTTAAAAGAGCTAACAAGTAGAAAATCTCTTCAAGTGCCAAATATCTATTACCATTTGCCTCATTTATTGAAAAATGAAGGAAGCCTTCAACCTTCTGTGCAGGTTGGCCTTGGAAGGACAGGAGGTATGCTGATACAATGTTTACTTTATGTTTTATATCTGGAGGACTTTCTAGTTTTAGTAATATAATTTATGGTATTGCTTTGTAGATAAGGATATCTTGTTTAACTTGTGTGATATTGATATCTCTTAGAATTCCCACTGAATCCAAGATGAAAGGAGTTTGGCTTCAGCTTTGCTCTTTTCTGCATAATCTTAGTCACATCCTATGCCATGTTAAAGTACACACTAAGTAGCATTTAGTTTGGGGGATTTTTTTTTTGTAACTAAGTAAAAGGAAACACAGCTCAAGCATTACAGATTCTGAGCTGCTAATAGACATATCCCTTCAGCTTTTCAGGTTTGTGGAGCAACCATGCATGGATATAATTATTTTAGAGTTGATGTTTCTGGTTTTTTTGAACAATACATTTCAATGTGTAACTTAGAGTTGGGAGAACTAGGATAATCAGATATTAATGCATCAATAAAATGTGGACACTTGTTGAAGGGGAAAAAAAATCAATGTTATGCTGCAATACTCTTGACCCCCTTTTGTGTGGGTGTTCAGGTTTTTTTTAATCCTCACAAACTCTGAGCTTTGGTCATTAGGATAGCTCCATGGAATCCCACTCTTGGAGCTCGAGAAAATAAATAGCATAAAGCCCAACCAAACTGATACACCTCAAAGCATATGCATGTGTGTCTAAGTTTGAAGGCCCCACCAATAAGTCCTTGTTTCTCTGTGTGCCATCTGACTTGAATGGCTTGTGTTATTGTCCTCTAGGCCTCTCTTGGTTTTTTTTCTCCCCCTCCTTGCTTTTGAAAGAAGCATTAATTACTCCTGGCCTATATTTTTTTCGTTACTTCAGTAAGCTTGATTGCTCATTCTTTTGACAGAAGGCATGCGTGTGTGGCAAGTGTGTGGACTCAAGCCATAGAGTTATTTCTCTGACTATAGGTGCCACTTATTTCAATGTTGTTATTCAGGAAGGAAAAGGCTCATATTCCTTTATTGTTTTAAGTGAAGTCTGTATTATATCTCACTGGGAATATATGACAGAAGTTTGAAATTACAACATAGAAATTGGAATCAGGTTTGTTTAATTAAAATGAGAGAGGAAATTCTGAGTTAAAATTATTTTTCCCATCTTCCCCTTTCCTGGTCACTGTGCTTTTTGAGTGTTTGTTTTAAAAATGTAGAGCTGCTTAATATGTAGTTGCGAGGCAAAACAGGCTCTATAAGGAAGGGTAAACAACATTTTTAATAGTTGTTTGATTTTATGTATTTATGATGTCGTAAATCATTTCACACAGATAGCTCAGAATGCTGGTGCTGACTTCATTAAGTCTTTTTTATCCTTTTACTGTGTTCCTGCTGCTATCTGCTGTGTTCCTAGTAGGTAGCCAGCCCTGGGTATGGGATGGGGTACAGAAGAAAGACTATGGGAAAGTTAAGGAACACAGGAGTCCAATGGCCAGCTGAAAGATGGTGTTAAAAGCATTGTAGCTGGGGCCAGATTGCTTTGCATTTGAGGTGCTTTTACCAGGGATAAGAGATTTCAGTGAGGAATTTCCAGGCGATCCTGATGACTTGGACTTGTTTATCTAGAACAACCCAAATCAGGTGCAAGTAAAGTAATAGATTTTTTTTTTTTTCAGCAGTGTCATTTTAAAAGATGACTTTTGAGAAGTTAAATACTTAAGTTGTGAAGAATGGTTATGCTAATTTGAAAATAAAACCAGGTTAGGGAGTCTAATCACTCTTAAGTCCTGGTACACCTTATCTGATAAGTACCGACCTGTCTTTAATTACAAGTACCACTCCTTTCAGGAACTGATGAGGATCAATTTTTTTTTTTCCTTCAAGATGTAGACAGGTTGACTGTCTCTCATGAAAATGAGACAGTGTCAGTCGTGTTTGAGAGAAATGATCCTGAAGAGCCTGGCTTTTTCTATTTATCAAGGGAATAGTGAACACGGATTCAATAGACCGATTATTTTGTAAATCATTTGATGTTTATACCTAGTGACAGCGATGTGCTAATTACCTTATTCCTTCAACATCAAAATAATGGCTAAGGTACTGTGGTGTTGTAGGCAGGATTCTTCCCATTCTCTTCATGCTACGGCTTAGTACTTCCTCAAATGAGTGCTGCAGTTTGAGATGTTAGGCACAGGTTGTTACTGTTTTTATTTTCTGGACAGTGTGGATATTGTAAGTCATAGAATCATAGAATTCCATACCTTTGTCATGGATTAATTCAAACAGTATTCAGTCAGACAGTTTTATTGGTTTGGCTCTGATTTAGTGGAAATCTAATTTAGGGAAATGGTAGAATGCTTCAGAAATAATTCCGTTTGCTGCTGGGAATTGCATATATATATTTTCATCTGTGTGTTTTTCTCAAAATTCTGACTTTGAGAGTGGGAAATTTATATAAACGTTTGACCTTCATCCATCTAACCATGTAGTGCTCTACTGAAACAGTGTTTTATGAGTCCCACAGATGAAAATTTGAATCCTTTAGTTTTAACTGTGAAAACAGTTTTAATCCTGTGAGCCAGTGTCCATTCAGGGATGAATCAGTGGAAAATCAGATAGGCATTTTAATACTTCTAGTTGTATTATCGGCACATTTTAAAGCTTTGCTTGAGAAGTTTGTAAACTTCTAACCTGTACCCGAGAACTGATTCTTATGGTTTTCCAATATAAATTACTCTGTTTTCTTTTTCTTGACAGTCAAAAACTGACTGTCAGGACAGATACTGCTTTTCTGCAGAAAATGCTCTTAAAACATCCATTGGTTGAGAATATCAAGAGAACAGAATTCATTCTGAATTACTGCAATGCTGGGCTTTTCTTCATGTATTAGTTGGAGTAATTTTATTGCCTTTTAGTTTGGCTTCTTTTCAAGATTTAAAACTGAAGTTTCATTGTGTTGTGCTTAAGGAGATCAGAGCTATGAAGACTGTCTATTATCATTGGATTGTCTGTTTTCTGCAAAACTTTGAATAGAAGTGAAGAGAATCCACACTGTTACCAACTGCACAAGTTCCTTGTTGCCTTAGATGAGACATATTGCTATACCTGAGTTTTCCATAGCTAAATAACTTTATTCCTTTGAGGTGGTGTGAAATACTCTTTCAACTTGTGAATGAATCCGCAGAAGTGACAGTGAAGGAACTGAATATTTTAACATGGGAGTTCTTGCTTCTGTGTCCAAGGAGAATGGTGTGGTTTTCTCAGGGGTAGGATACTGTTACCCTCTGTATCTTATCTCTGTATCTGTTTGTTTGAGGGCAGCACTATGTGCTTACTCGCATATCTCCTGTGAGTACTGGAAGTCATGAACGTCTGGGAAAATTTGAAGTACCTAAGCTTACTTTCTTGTCCTGTTATAACCATTCCTTATATCTGCATTTCTTTCTCTTTACTCCATCCAATTTTGTATTCTCTGCTTTACTGTTTCTTTGACGATGTTTTATATTTTCTTAAGTTCAGTATCTTATAATTTGCTTTGTAATTGCTACAGGGTACTCTTTCAATGAATAGTGTGGTACAGTAAATACTTAATCCTGAACTATGCTGTGTTTTTTTCTGAGATATACTGTATATTTTAGCTTCATTCTGCAAGATGAAAAGTGTAGGTTTAGTAAGCATTTTCTCTGGGTTTTTGAAGGAAGGCCTATTCCCCTGGTCGTCTTCTGTTTCTCCTTAAACAAAAGAGAGGGCTTTAGCTTTTAAAATACCTTTGTCTGTGGGGTTTCCTAGCCTAAAATGTGTTGGACTGTTGCTACGATTAACGTGTGTGCGTTAACGAAGACTTATTTAAAAATACATTAGAACTTTGACCAACTATGCTTGCATTAAAAATGATGGCAAAAGTTTCTGGAAAAAAATTACCTGCACTCAACTTCTACGCAGTTTTAAGTACAGCAAGAAATGGTCATAGTGGGAGGTTATGTAATTTTTCTAATAAGCTTAAAATTACTATCTGTGCTTTGTCTATAGCTTGTACCAACAAAAGAAAAAAAGTGCAAGACTTAAAAAAAATTTTTTTTATGATAAAATTATATGAAAAATGGTATTTTAAAAGGATTTTAGTAATTTCTTGCTGACTTTATTTGAGAAATCAAGTTGACAGTGTTTAAGAAGCATTGCTGGGAGCCATAGTCATGGACTGTAATCTCTTTGTGCTAAGCACACTAAAAAACTTCTAGTCCTGCTATTTTTTTGTAGCAGTTCAATCTCATTCCTTTCTTGTAAATTTGACTTTTTAACTAGAAAACACGTTGAAAATTAAGGCTAATGGCCACCTTCAAACAGCATGAACAGTGTAAATAGATGAGCTGGTAAATACAGATGCATTATGGTTGTTAAACAGACACCTGCATATTTATTTACTCTATGGATATTTCTCAGTGATTATACACAGTAAACTTCCATACTGGAAATTCAAGGAATTCTAAAATATCTCAGCTGATGTGGTATCTAATCACCAATTTAAATGATTACTAGAATTTCTTGGCGGTAAACTGTGCAATTGTGCCACTAACTGACACATGTCTGTATTCTCCAACTTGTTAAAATAACTCTGTAGCAGAACAATTTGCAGGTATTCATTAGGATGACTAATAAAAAGGCATGATTCACTATACCTCTATACTTAAAAATCTTTTTATTCCCCTTCACTATGTAGCTAGTTCATAGGCTTATCAGATGACTTGAAGCAAACGATTCAAACTTAATAAACCTGCTCTGCATGAGAACTTGCTTTCAGAATAAACTATAGGGTCTAGGTTTGAGAACCTGGGGACTTTGGATTAAAATGGTTGTCTAGTGTTTTTATTTAATAGGGTTTGTAATTAACGTGGGAAACATGGTTTTGAATTACTTTATATCATCATAGTACAACAGACATATATACACACACGTTACTGAATATGAGAGAAATTAAAATACTTTTCTGGTATCTAAACAGCTTTATTTTTTTTTCCTGTGGGTAGATCTCATATGCCATGAAGAAAATGCATCTTAAGCTTGTTCTAAATATATCGCAAATTATTGTCAGTCCACTTCATTGATCCGTGACTGCACTTAGCACAATCTTTTGTACAAACAGTAATCAGTGTATATTGGAAAGACTGTAAGCCCTTGATTTGACCAAAAATATCAGAAAGACAAATATTTCAGTAAGAATCAGAAGGCACTACAGGTATGCAAAAGCATTTTGCTAGTTCTGTACACTACTGATTACATCTAACTAGGCAGTAATTGACCAGCCATTTGTTCTTGGAGCACTAGTCCACATGTTACACTTCCTTGTGTATTGCTTATTCAAATCTTACTCTGTTGTTTCATGAACATACAATTCACTCTAGGCTAGAATAACTTCTGTATCTTGAATATCTTTTACTGTCACCATGTCATCTCTTTTTGTAAACAGTGGCTGCTAAAGAGGTTGATCTTCAATAGTGTTTTCCCTATCCTTCTTCTGTGGAGAATCTTTTTTTCTTTATTATTTCTTTGGAAAAGTTTCAGTACTGGTTGGGTCAGCATGACACAAGCACCCAGCAAGCTACCATCCTGTGCGCGGGTATGAACAAAGCCTTAGCAAATTAAACACTGAGTGCACATACTGGGTCAAACCTTGCTGAACCTGTTTTGGATGCATTAACATTGGAGTGCAATATGCAAAACTCGAGCAAAATAAACAAGCTTGTATTTTCACCCCTTCTTGCTCTGGGCCTGAATTATAGATCCCTTTGAGCAGATCTCTTGATAGAAAGCAAAGAAATATTTTGTGTCTCTTGCTCTCAACCCAGGTGTATTAGTATCATCCTGATTACAGAGATGTTCCATTCTTTCTGATAATGGGTGAAAACTTGAGAGCTGCCCTTTCCTGGGGCTACCTTGGAGAGTGTAGTCCTAGTCCTCAGAAGATTTGACCGCACATCTCAAGTTGGGGAAAGACCAATAGATCTTGTACATAAGATATTTAAGCTGCTGTTGCAATCCCTGCTTCTTTAGCATCTGAGCTTTGGTACTCAGAGTATGGACCGCTGATACTGAGCACCTTCATAGCGTTTTACACTCCTCTTTTCATGGCAGTGACTAGCAAAGTTTTTATATGGAATTAAACCAGTGAAAAAATATTTCTTAAATCTCAGAAAAGATCCTTGACAGGATTTGAAAACTTCTGTGTACCTGAGACAAATTTAGAATCTCAGCACAAGGATAAAATTCAGGATTCTGCTCTTTTCTCAAGCCATAGACTTGAATGATTGAAATACTTCACTATCTGTAAGAGACCTTCTGAGATACACCTGGGCCACAGTAACTATCTGATGCTTCTGGTAGGGGAGCATCGCTGTTAATAGACAGAATTGTGTCTGATCTCTTCGGTAACGTCTAGTGTGTTTGTGAGATGGAAAGTAACAATAATAATCTTATTTCAGAAGCATTGTAGCAGGTGACTTCACACCTGGATGATTGACTGAATTGACACTTTGAGTTTTGGACAACACTACCAAATTTTGCTACTGTGGTCTGCCTTGGTCTAAAGATAATGAGGACAAATTCCTTCTGTCCTCCAAATAAACACATATGACAGAAGGGTGCTTTTGACTGTACGCAACAACGACCTGTCTTCTGGAAAATAAACCATCTAGACCTTTCAATGGCTTATAGGCTCACGCAGGGACAAGACAAAGTTTCCCCAGGTTGCCAGGCCACATACGCTGCTTTCTTACAGACTCTCCAAACCAGGCTTCATCTCTAATATGCACGAAACTAGTAGAAGGCTATATGACAGTTACATAACTTGCATCTGAATGTCCAGTTTTGAATCATCCCTTGATATTTTTATTCTGGCTGGCCTCCTTAAAAGCTAAACTTGTTCTCTGACGTGGTGCTGTGGTTTGCACCACGGTCCATCTGGATGTATGCCCTCATGATTGAGGAACTGACATGATGGACACAAGGGTAGGGAAAAACAAGAATGGAGTGATAGAGAAGTATACCTGTATTCCTGTTATTTCTGCCAAAGGCTCTGCATTGTGAGACCCTGTCCTGAACTGAATTGGGTTAATAATGGAAATGACTAGAGACAGAAAGATGTCACTTACTGGTGTGGTAGAGTGGGGACTTTCAATAAGAGAGGGATGAAGTCATTAGCTCACATAAGACACAGAGGCTACATTTTGCTTTTGTAACGTTAGAAGGCTGTGTTATGACAGTGTTCTGTGTTCCTGTTTTTTGCTTTGCATCTTGTTATCATGTTTCCTGTATTTATATATGTATTCCCTGAACTTGCTGCTTCAGATCTGAAAGCAGACACTGTATTCCTGAAAATAACTTTTTTTTCAGCTGCCTTTGTTGAACTCTTAACAGATTTTATTACCTTTTTCCCCAGGTTTTATTTATATCCATACACTATTGCAACTACTGGAAGCCACTGCTGCACTTTTATTCCTCAGTGCTTTTTCTTCGTTGCATAAATATCCAAAAATAGGTCCAAATGCCACTTTAGTGGCTGCTTTTTCCTATGTGAATTTTAATGCCTTGTGTATAGGTGATTGTATTCATATGGACTTTCACCATTTCAAGGCAAATATATGTTTGCTTTGCCTTTTCTGGAGGCTGTTGAATTTTGCATTGTTTGTTATTATTTAAAATACATTGTAAAATTATTCCAGCCCTATTCTACAGGGATGATGAAAGATCAAATGAAATTGTATAAATTACTAAGCAATGAAATTGCCATGCTTTCAGATTAGCATGGTTGTTTCCTAGGGATTTTCTTCTTTTTTTGGAAGATGTTCTTGAATAAGTTAAGACTTACCTATATTAGATTTCATTTAAGAATTAAGATCTGGATAATCTAACAGCCCAGATAAACCACATTGTTTAGAATGTACTGCACAGCTAATGTCTGAATTTCCCCCGTCTTTCCCTGTGGCTTATCTTCTTTAATTTGTAGTATTTTGATATTCCGCATCTTAATTTCCTTTCCTAGTGGCTTTGGAATTTTAGTTCCATCTCTGTTTCTATTTGCATTTCTCTTCCTAAAACTGTGTCTTTTTGAAAACTGAAATAGAAATTTAATCCAAACAGAGATTTGGTCTGATAAGGCAAGATCTGAGATTCTGAGAATCACTGAGATTGGAAGGGAACTCTAGATCATTTAGTCTACCACCCCCCTGCTCAAAGCAGAGTCAACTGCTAAAACTTGTATGTGTTGCAGAGCATTTCAGTATGCATCTTGAAAATTATAGCCTTAAAAGAAGCTAAGGTTGCAAGTCAAACCTCTAGAACAAGAAAATGCTACAATTGCATTACTTGTACAGTATGTCATGACATTCCATCATGTTTTACTTGGAGAACTTAATGTGAAAATGAAGTTTTTCACTAGCGAGGTGACAATGTTTAAGTTTTCATGGCAGCTGCCATTCTGTAGCACTTTATGTTGCCAAAGTCCAGTGTTTAGCACTTCTGATCACATCGGGTTGACAAGTCATGGGAATTGAAGTAAGAGTAGTGCTTAGTGGCAAACTAAGGAAAACTTAAATTGTAATGTATGCATAATCACTAGATAAATTGTTGCAGGAGGAGTGAGACAGGCAATAAAAGCAGGGACAGGAATCCCATGCTTTACAATGGAATGTAGATGTCTGAACTTCAAGGCTATTTTTGTTTCTTCTAACAGTACCATGTCTTGTTGGTACTGCCAGGGTACAAGACCATGTCTTGTACGGTCTGATGCAAAGTGTATACTTGCTTTGCTTGTGTGTCAGCCTGGCTCCAGCCCTGTTTGGACTCACTGTTTTGCTCATTTAGATTTTTCATATGTGGATAGAAATGATTCTCAGTTTGACATGGTGATACATATGCAATCTAGGTGCTGCTTAATAAAATTGAAGTAAAATCTAAAACGGAGAATGTTTTTTTACTTGGTATGTACCTAAGTTGTGGACCTTGTTGCTACTGGGTATTGTGAAATACAAGTGAGTAAATGGGTTTTGAAATGAATCAGACAAATTCATGAAGACCAGATCCAGGAGAAACTATTGAATAAAATTACCTGGATATCAGTCAGGCCTAGGAATTATAAACTGTTGATTACTGTAAACTTGGAGGTATATGAAGGGAAAGAAGATTCATTCTGTACATACCGTATTTATTGCACTCTCTACTGCACTGGTGTGGCCCCACTTTGTGTACTGTGTGCAGTTTTGGGTGCCTCAATATAAGAAGGACATCAGACTATTAGAGTGTATTCAAAGGAAGGCAGCCAAGATGGCGAAAGGCCTCAAGGGCAAATCTCAGCAGCTGAGATCACTTGGCTTGTTCAGCTTAGAGAAGAGAAGGCTGAGGGGTGGCCTTATCACAGTTTACAATTTCCTCAAGGCAGGCAGCAGAGGGGGTTGTGCTGATTTCCTCTCTCTGGTGACCAGTGACAGGACATGAGGAAATGGAATGAAGCTGCATCAGGGGAAGTTCAGATTGGACATTAGGAAAAGGGTCTTCACAGAGAGGGTGGTCGCTCACTGGAACCAGCTCCCCCGGGGCAGTGGTCGTGGCACCAAGCCTGTAAGAGTTCAAGGAGCATCTGGATGATGCCCTTTGTCATATGGTTTAGTTTTAGGCAGTCCTGCAAGGAGGCGGGAAGTGGACTAGGTGATCCTTATGGGTCCTTTCTAGAAGTCGAGACTTTCCTTACATTTTGAGGAACAGTCCACCTTCTGTCATTCTTGAATATATGAAGTAGGTAGGATTTAACAGTACAAAAGGGTTGATTCTAAAACTAGAAATCTTGGATTTTTCTGACAGTTGGCTGGCTGTTAATTGAAACTCTCTAATCTCTTGTTTTTTCTGCTATCTAATACATTCTACTACTTTGCTATGCACACACACTCAAAAATCAATAAAAAAGATTGGAAAGTTCATTGCTACTCTAGTTCTTTGTGCTTTTGTTATGAATAACAATGTCTGTTCAGACAAACCTTAGAGTAATTGCAAATTTGAAATGTAAACTCACCTAAACTTTAGAGAATTTTTGGGCAGCATCTTATAAAACCTGAGGAAATTTAAAAACTTATTTCACTGACAGTCTGAAACTTTAGTTTGTTCTACAATGGACTCTTAGTTTTCTTTTAGAGAGATTCATCAAAGCACTCTATATGTGTGCCTTGTCAAAATTGCTGTTGCAAGGAGTTAAACCTTCGATGTTGCCTTGTTCACAGGCTTATGAAACTCCGTAGATCTGATAAGCTAAAATCTTCTTTTCTCACTGAAAGGTTAGATAGAATCATAGAATTGCTAAGGTTGGAAGGGACCTTTAAGATCATCAAGTCCAACCATTAACCTACCCTGACAAAACCACCTCTAAACCACGTCCCTAAGTACCTCATCTACCCTTTTTTTAAACACCTTCAGGGATGGCGAATCCACCACCTCCCTGAGCAGCCTATTCCAATGTTTAATAACCCTTTCAGTGAAAAGATGCTTCCTAATATACAATCTAAACCTCGCCTGAAATCATTTAAATCCATTTCCTCTTGTCCTATCACTTTTCACCAGGGAGAAGAGGTCAGCCCCCACCTCTCTACAACCTCCTTTCAGGTAGTTGTAGAGGTGATAAGGTCTCCCCTCAGCCTCCTCTTCTCCAGGCTAAACAACCCCAGTTCCCTCAGTCATTCTTCATAGGCTCAAGGGGGTACTGGTGAGGTACCTTGAAGAGGAGTCTACTGAGGAATATTAAATACACAAAGTCACATCTGTCTCAGGAAGTAACCTGAATTGAAGATAGTTGGAGCATTTATGGTAGCAGGAGGGAGTGTTGTATATGCTTGACCTGTTCTTATTCTTTGCTATGTATCTGGTCATGGCTGCCTCTGCTGGAAGCAAGATGCAGAGCTGGATCAATTTTTGGTCTGATGTGGTATGAATGAGAAAAGGAGGATGTCTCACTCTGCTCCAGGTGTTTCTTTCTTTCTCTCAGAGATCAGTAATTTCATATGAGTAGAAAGAAAGAAAGAACAGGCAGAAAGATTTGAACTGCCAGTACTGAAAAAAACAGCCCTACTTATGCCTTTCATTAGTTCCCAGAGATCCACCTAACAGGACAAACTTGTTTGTAAGGCTCCATGTAATTCATTGATAAAATGCATCTTTGTGGCTGGCACTGTTAACTCTTTGGTTGTGGCCTATCATAATTTAACTTAATTCTCGTATTTATTTCATGAGATTGTGTGAAATAACTTACAAGTAGTACTTTCCTGGGACACGTCCACAGCTGAAGCGTGTTGGCGAAGATCCCACTTAGTGTTAGGCTAGGTAATGAGAGGAGTTGTTTGCCTCTGAACATTGTGATGTGGAAAGATGGCAACCTGCTATCCTAAGAGGAGTAGTTTGGTGTTGAAATCCTGGTTGTGAATCTCAGATGCTGCTGGTAGATATAAATACAACTGTTTATTTAGAAATTGTGGTGGGTTGACCCTGGCTGGATGCCAGGTACCCACCAAAGTTGCTCTATTACTCCCCCTCCTCAACTGGACAGGGGAGAGAAAATATAACAAAAAGCTCATGGGTCAAGATAAGGACAGGGAGAGATCACTCACCAATTACCATCACAGGCGAAGGAGACTCAGCTTAGGGAAAATAGCTTAATTTATTACAAATAAAATCAGAGTAAGGTAATGAGAAATAAAACCAAATCTTAAAACACCTTCCCCCCACCCCTCCCTTCTTCCTGAACTCAATGTCACTCATGATTTTCTCTACCTGCTCCCCCCCAGTGGCACAGGGGGATGGGGAATGGGGGTTATGGTCAGTTCATCACATGTTCTTTCCGCTGTTCCTTCCTCCTCAGGGCGAGGACTCCTCACTCTTCCCCTGCTCCAGCGTGATATCCCTCCCACAGGAGACAGTTCTCCACAAATTTCTCCAATGTGACTCCTTCCTATGGGTTGCAGTCCTTCACAAACTGCTCCAGTGTGGGTCAAATAACTCCTCCCCCTCCTTCTTCACTGACCTTGGTGTGTGCAGAGTTGTTTCTGTCACATATCGTCACTCTTCTCTTTGACTGCAGTTGCTGTTGTGCAGCAACTTTTTCCCCTTCTTAAATATGTTATCTCAGAGGTGCTACCACTGTCACTGATTGTCTTGGCCTTGGCCAGTGGTGGGTCTGTCTTGGAACCATCTGGCGTGGGTTCTATCAAACATGGGGGAAGCATCCAGCAGCTTTTCACAGAAGCCACCCCTATAGCCCCCATTACCAAAACCTTGCCAAGCAAACTTAATACAAGAAATAATGGCAGGATATAAAATTTTTAATGCATTTGCTCAAGTGAAAAATGGCATCAACTCTTTCAATCTTTGTGGTTTTATTCATTCTAAAAGTGGCATCTCCTTTTGCACTATACTGATGCAGTGACTGTTGATTCAGAAGGAACACTACCTCCTAAACCAGCAGCGGTATTTGCCATATCTTGTGTTCAGTGCAGCTATACCAGACCATCTTGTCTTTGTGTGACAGCAGCGCAGATTTACAGTATGAGGTTGGAAATCTACAAGCTGCATCTCTTTAATGTGAAGCTATTGTGATTGCAGCTCTGTTTGGGAAATTGCCAACCTTTTGCATGAAGGACACAAACAAATAAGATGAAGTAGGGAAAAGAACCCCTCTTATTCCAGACTTTCTTTTTTTCCCGATTGTGATGTGTTCTGTGTAAGTATTGTAAGGTTTTAAAAGCACTAGCAAGGCTTCATGTTGTATCCGCAAAATAGGTCAAAATTATGTTCATGCTAAGGAGACTTGCACTAATGCATAGTCTTGTGACCAAATATATGCTTCCAGCTGGGGTGACGTTTGGCATTTATTTTAATCTCTGGAATATCATGTAGAAAGTAGCTGTGTTTCTATTCTGTGTGTGTATGTGTATATATTTATATATATATATATATAAATCTTACATTTTTCTATGCAATTACATTATGGACTGTTTAATGAGTATTTGAGTTATTAATGCTAGACTGGGTATATTGGCATGCCAACTGGAAAATCAAATTGTTTTTTCCTATGCCAACTAAAGAACAATTGCTGTATTTTTAATGTTTAAAAGGTTTTAAAAAAATAAAATGTTTCAGTTAAAGATGGATATACTAAAAATAATTTTAGGTAGTCACTTGGTCACTGATTTATAACTGTTATACACAGCAGAAGAAGTTATGTCTTAAGCTGCATTCTAGTAATAAACTGTGCAGGAGCAATCCATAAGTGTATTTGAAGACTCAGTGATATATCAAGGTCCATATGGACCTGTGAGTCTGCTTGTGTGGAACTTGCTGCACGATGAGTTTTAAATTGTGAACACCTTATCTGCTTATTATAACTTAAGTCCAGCACTAGGCATAGCACTTATAAAGAAAATATGTATGAAAAACTTATGGCAAATGCTTTCTACTCACATGTTCTTGTAGTATTTAGAACCTGCTATTGGAAGAAACCCACTGTAGTCCTGTTTGGAAAAGTGTGCGTCACTGGCATTATGTTGGATTTTATAAAAATAAATCTTTAAAAATAGGAATGGTGATTTTTAAGATCAAAGGGTAAGCACCTTTATCAAACAAGATTAGTGGTTCTATAGAAATGCTTGGGAGGGATTTATTCTCTGTGTGTATAATCCTTTAATGGTAATCTGCATTACAAATTCATCAGAAAAAGTATGAACTGTTCCTTTGTTTCCAGCATTTCAAAGGCAGCTATTTCTACAGAATCCTCAGGAGCCACCTGAGTCTCAGTTGATTTATAGACTGTAAATTTTCTTTAGAAAACTGTAAACAGTATGTCGAGTTAATAGATTAGTAAGTATAAGAAAGACTAGGATTTTCAGTCACATTTATGAATTCACAGATTCTCTTTTCCTGGAATGCATGTTTATGACCAAATGAATAGGTTGAACAATTGGCCAGTTCTGGCAAGTTAGATGATCTAGACTTTTCTAGAATGTCACGATTTATATTTTAATCAACAAATAATTTTTAGAATCAGTGCATCTTTAAGAACTGGGTGATTCATAGGATTGATAGTCCTTTATGTTTGAACTCAGATGCAAAAAAGCAACCCTCGTCAGGAAAACAGCATGTTCATTGCCATCTGTGGTTGGGGCATCCATGCTTTAAATGCAAAGTTTAGGAGATGTATTTTTGAAAGAAGAGTGTGTTCAATGCCCTGTTTTTCAGAAAGCTTTCCTTGGTAATATTTTAATATATATTATTATTATATTACAGTAATGTGAAGTTCTTCCTACACAAACACTCAGTGATCATTTTGTCATTAAGAGCATGAAAGGCTGCAAGAAAATACCAACAGTTGGATTAGAACTCTGTTAAAAGCAGATACAAGGCAAATATTATTCCCTGCTGTTTACAAAATAAAATTGTTTCTTCTCCCATTAGACATAAGATATAGTTATGTGTATGATATGTTCCTGTATTACTCAATATCTTATATGCTGAAATTGATTTTCAAGTACAGCTACTACCAATGTTTATTTTACTAGGTTCTTTTAAGGTGTAGCTCCAAAACTGTTAAGCATTCTATTTGGTTTTTGTGTTTGTGTTTTTTTTTTCCCAGACTGATCTTGATTATGTGAACAGTGTTGTTGCAAGCCTGGAAAAAGAGTAAGTTGTAGTTTTAATGGGGGACTCCTTAGCTTATTGGTGGGTTCGCATTTTGTTTTTTTCTGAATCAGGTTGTGATAAGTAATTAAAAGTATTCTGGAAATATGAGATCATGTATTTGTTTCTTGGAGGTTTGGATTTTCGAACAACAAAGTAATTGATGACAAATTAAAGGGCAGTGATTCAGTCAGTTAAATTGTAAAATGATAAATGAGATTAAATTATTTAGTGCAACATAAACAGATGGGTTTGGTTTAAAATGAATGGAAATTTATGACATCTGTGTTAGCGCCTTGTATTCCATATGTTCAAAGAGAACTATAGAAAAAAATATCACTAGGTTCTGAATAAAGGAAGGCAAAAGAAGTGTTTAGAATCTAGTTAAAATTCTGATTATTGGGCAAGAGGCTATACTCCTCTGAAGATGACGCTAAGGAAAACAATATTATTTTATATGTTACTTTTATTTTACATGCCTCATTTGAATAAGTCATTGTAACCGGACTTAATAACTGTACCAACAGAAAGTAAGAAGGAAGTCTGCAGAACTCAGCATCTCTCATGTGACTTTAGGATGTTTCTATTTACAGGTTTTCTACAGAGATCAGTTCTGGCTTGGTTGAAGTAATAGCCCCTCCTGCAACTTACTATCCTGACTTGACAAACTTGAAAGAAACATTTGGAGACTCAAAAGAGAGAGTGAGGTTAGTTTATTCCCCCAGATCTTTTCCCATCTCCTCCCACACCCACACTTTTGTTGTTTATGAAATGGCAAGTGGGATGTGAATTCTTGAAATGTTTTCTTACTGTAATTCTTGAAAGTGTGGGGATGCTAAAAGTGCTCTGTGAATCCATCCCATTCCTATCTGCATGCTGTTCTGTGCATGATCAGAGCCTAATGCTATGCTTGGCTGAATTCATTTAGTGTTAAATTCTGGGAGGAGAACTGAGACTTGATATACTTTTGTTTACTGTTTTTCTTCCTGAAATACAGTGTAAAACCCAGTAATTTCTGCTGAAGTACCATTTAAAACTCACGTGTGTTTTCAGTGAAATGTCAGGTAGTTTTCACAAAATCAGATTCAAGTTAAACCAGTTTTATGTCTGTATTAAAGCTTAAGGCGAAAGCTTTGTTCCTTTTTTTCAGACAGAGGATTTCCTGAGGGAACAATGCCAAAAGCAGCTGTCCTAACATTTCACTAATATCTGTCATTTTTCATAGTGAGATTTACTTTGCATTGCCAGCATGTATTGAAATAACTTTTTTCATAATCCTTAAGCTTTTAATCTAATTTCAGATGGAGAACAAAACAAAACTTGGATTATTGTTTTCTTATGATGTATGCCCAGAAAAAGGGGGTTTATTACATTCAGGTAACTTTCTCTTTTGTTTTGAGACAAGTTTTCAAATGAGTCTCCAGAAATTATACTGTTGGACACATCAGAAGGACCTACACAGAACAGAGATAACTTTATTCCATAGTTGAAGGAGGGCATTAAGTATTGAGGTTATGGTATATGAGGAAGTAATTTGTGGAGGACACTGTCTCTGAAGTAGAAAGCTGTCCTGGAAGCTGCACATCCAATAACACGAGACAGTCTTTTTGAAACTAGGCAGTCACACAAATATTAGTGCCAACACAAGGGGGAGAGCGTGAATGCACTGGGAGAAAGGACAGGAGAAGCAGAATACTTAAAGCAGTGGCCTGCACTTAGTATGAATTAAAGGGACACATCTTGGCAGTTCTGCTGCCTGGACTAGCTGACTAGTTTGGACTGTGCACCTCTTCTTCTGTTGGACAGCTAAAGCCAGGTGAAATGAATCCCACCTGAGTAGACAATGTGTCTCAGCTTCTTGTCTCAGAGGAGAAATTCTTTCAGCTCTGTTAGGTGCGTGAGTAAACAGTCACATTTGCATACAAATAATACAGATATTCTACTTGTTCTACTGACGATGTCACTTAGTCTAACATTATTTCATGGTTGATTTTCCTCTGAAGAGAGAAGCTAGAAAAGCAATGTTCTGAAGTAATAAGTTGAGATACATTTGTGGATTCTTACTACAGAAAGATTCTGGATTAGTTCTCCATAAATATACAGACTGTGATCCCTACGATGGTTATTCTTGGTTATAGCGTCTAGATTTTATAGCAGTGCTTGCATTAGAAATATATGGCTATGAGTTAGCAATATATTATAAATCAGTATTTCCTAGCTGTACTTTTTCCTATTGCTTTACTGGTGCATTTTTATTTATGTTGATAACATTGCTACCTTCATCTAGCTTGAAGATGACATCGTTGTCAAGCAGAATTATTTCAGCACAATAAAAAATTTTGCACTTCAGCTCGCTTCTGAAGATTGGATGATTCTAGAATTTTCTCAGCTGGGTTTCATTGGTAAGAAAATGTTCATTTTAGTAGTTTGAAAGGGCACATTCATCCTCAGACTCTGTGAATTAATAGTAATCTGACTTCAAAGCTATCTTCTTTGTACTGGAAATGGACCAAGAAGTAGAAATTCATTGGCTTTTTTAGGAAGTCTGGTTTAACTCGTGGGTTGGTTGTTGGCTTTTTTTCCGTGTTGTTTCATATACTTTTGTATGAATGAGGCAAACTCAAACTGTTGGAAAAGAGGGCTTTTTTTATAACCAAACGTTAATTAACTTATAAAAATACTAACAGTCAAACTGCAAGCAATGACTTATTTTCAAGTTAGCTGCTATTAAACCAAAAATGTGATTAAAAGACAACTGACTGAAGTAAGAGAAAAAAGCATGAAAACTAACACAACCTAAACCAACTTCATTGGTGTTTGTGCCAAAATTTCCAAGAATCGGCAGTCATCTGTTGGCTTGGTTGCAAAACCTGTTCTATCTCCACCTTTATACTTCATCAAGGAGAAGTTATGACAGTGTGTTCCTTCTTAGGTGTAGCTAGAGTCTATCTGTCATTTGCAATGAACAACAGTGAGAGAAGCTAACGAAGCATCTCAAACTGTTGTGGATTGACTGCCAGGGTGCTGTTGAAATTACTTTATGGTTATTTGCTCTTACACTAATATGTTTTTATTGAGAGGTAGTGGACTTAACAAAAAAGCAATGAAAAAAGTTTTGAAGGGATTTTACAAATCAAAAGGTTATTTCATTACTGTAGTGATGTGTCATGATCTGTTTAAAAGTGCTAAGCTTGCAATACGCAAGCAAAAATGAAAAGCTAAATCATACTGTGGAGATTTCTGTATATAGTCGACACAAATGATTCCAATGCAAAGGCTGTAAGTTGAGCTCAGAACACGAAGAAAATCCTACATGTGTACAGTTCTGAGTGCTGTCATTCTCTTGGAAATTCTTGTTGTTCTCTCGGTTTTCACTTTGGATCTGCTTTCCAGAGAACAGCTTCAGTTTTAGTTCAGTGACCCATAACGGTTGCAAACAGTGGACATACATCAAGATTGCAGAACTGAAGAGGTGGGCACTGTGTGAATGGCAAGTACTATCCTGTTTCCAACTCAGCATCAGGTGTGCTGCTGAGGCAATAGTTCCCTGACTTTCAGGGTCTCAGAAATTCACTAAGTAGAAAGGAAAACAGTAGTTATCAACTAAACATGCTATGTTAGGGTACAAAATAGTACTTTGTACACTTGCCTGTCAGTCTAACCTACGGAAACAATGGAGAAGAGGAGAGGAAATGGGCAGAGGGATGTCTCCTTAACTACCTGGCCACCACATAACTGATCTGCTTGGTTGCCTTGGGCTGCCAACAGAGGTGCACTGTTGCTGAAATAGTTACAGGACTGGTTTTGTACCCTCAGAGGTGGAAGGGAGAAACAGGAAATGAAGCTCCCTATCATGGAGAAGGAAGCATTTAAATAATTTATTGGAGCTTTTGCCCTATATAGACTTGTCTCTTCTGTTGGGGAGCCCCTTGCAGCTCTCTGATTCTGCAGCTGCAGAGACTGGTTGAATACCAGCATCTGATTAGGCTTTGTTTCTACTTCTGAACAGTTAAACTTTAATCGTGGGCTTAGTTGGGGTTAGAGTTTTAGCTCCAGTCCTAGTCGCCCTTTAAATGTAAATTCTGTATGAAGTTCCTGGGCTATAGAAGTAATTTACGTTCATTCTACGTTGGCTTAATTAAGTAGTAGAGCGTACTCTCTTACAAATTGCAGTTTTGTAAGACTGACATGTCAAAATAGGCATAAAACCAACTTACAGTTTAGGACATGCACTCTCTACTGTATGCAGATGTATTTCAGATTACTTATTACTTGTGTATTTGTGTATTTCACACCCCTTTCTGTTCTCAGTGCTGCTATAGAGGGCACGGTGTCTAAGCCAGAAGGGGTAGGTATATAGTTCTTAATACTGAGATTCAGCTTAATTACCAGCACAACTGTTTAAAAATATTTTAAAGTTGTTTTTCCATACTGTCTATATACTTTTTTTCAGAGTAAGCTCTGAAAATACTTGCAGTTAAATTTAGTTGTTAGCTCCTGCTGCTTGCATCCCTGTTCTTTGTTCCTTGCATCATATTTGCTTGCCTCCTTTTAATTAGATGACGTAAGTAGAATTTAAGATGCATTTAGCTATGGCTACACACCTTAATGTTACTTTTCTACCTAGAAAATTAAATTAGATTTTGTTCTCCCAATTTAGCTACTTATCCTGCTTTTATGTTTTGAGAGAAAAATTACTATTCACAAAAGTGACTAAAACTTTAGGCTTTGAGACACATTGGTGTGCTATAACCATATATTGTATAGAAATTTTATGCAAATAATGTAGATTTGCCTTATCTGTACTATCCCTTTATGGATCTTGATGCAGACTGATACTATGGTGATTTGGTAATGTGGGTAGCTATGGAGAAGAGCAAAAGTAGTTGTTTGTAACTGGGGATGAGTTTTATGTGTAGATGTCTAAGAGGAAGTAGAGCACTGAATTGGCTAGATGCTACTGATTTAGAAATAATCTCTAAAATAGAGAGGTGTGGCTGATTTGCTGTAAGCTATTGGGAACCTTGATCAGCTTGCAAGTTCTGCTAGGTAAAAATATTTTTTGTCATAGTGTATTTCTGAACTGAAAAGTTAATTTATGCAAGTACTACATGAGGAACTGCCAAATGCAGCTATTTAGGCTGACAGCAGGATTATAGAATTCTGTCACCTCTGCCACAGAGCAGAAGTTGCTTTCTTTGGGTTTTTTTGATACTGAAAGCATAGTCTGAAGTGCTGTCAAGTATCTAATAAATAATGGGTGAGACGTATGCTGTTTCGCTAAGAAGCTCTGTGGAAGGAGACGCATCTTTAGCTCTTCTGGATTCTGGTTTGCACTGCAGTCCCTGACACAACATAGGAAAGTCCTGCTAGATTCTTATGAGAAATATTGATTTGTCTTCCAACTGCCTGTGCACTGAAGTATTTTTCAGAGGATCTGCAATATTCTGTGCTGTGGCTATAATGTCAGCTGTCACAAACTTTTAATGGAGCAGTCTGAAATCAGCCTTTTTGGCTGTCTTCTACAATTTCTCTGAATCTTACTGTGCCCTGATGGTTTAAGGCCTGTTATTCTGATTATTTTAAGTTGTTCTGATTACAGTTTTGCTCAAGCTGTCCACATAGTTGAAGCTTGGGGAAGAGTAGATCAAGCAAAATATTTGAGATCTAAATAACTTCAAAGAGGTTCTGGTTTTAATGCCAGTAATTTGCATATCATCAACAGGGAAAATGTTTAAGGACTTCAACTATAGTTAGAATACGTGCTTGCAGGTATAAAATTGTTGGTGTAGACTGGATACACTTAACATGAAGCTTATGCAGAAGAATGCAAATGAATGATTTAGATATCTGCAGTTCAGAGAACTATAGAAAACAAAGGTTTTCGTTTTGTGTCTGTATTGTACTTGCCAACAAAATACTGAGAGGGCCAGAATAGTTCACTAAGGATAGCATTTAAATGGACTGAAAGCCAGATAGAAGTCTTGGCAGGGCACAATAAATAACAGAAGATGTTCCACAATATATTATTTTTTCAGTCCTGGCTCTCACTTTTATCAGTATAGATAAATAATGTGGAGAAAGTCTTCCACATTTTGTAAATCTCTAGGGATTTATGGAGCAAGATTTTTACCTTTGAATCTTAAGTTTTTTGGATTTTGAAGTTTCTTTGCAAGGGTAGGTTGTATGCACCCAGAATCTGAAACCTGTTTGTCAGAAGAGTCTCCTTGATTTATGTCTGTTCTTATGCACTGTACCAAGTGCATGAACATGGTGCAAGATGAGCCATTGCTTCAGTTCTTTCACATTGTCTTTGGTTAGATGCAGCATGTGTTGATTGCAGTTTTTGCTTAGGTCTCTTTGGCTCGATGATTATTATTATTTTTTTTTTTTTGACTGCTTGTTGGGAATGACCAGTGGGCTATCTGTAGGCTGGGTTTGGATGGTGTGTCAGTGGCTTCATGGCTTACAGCACTTTCCTCACCTGCAGCTGCATGGGAGGCCACAGGACTGTAGGACCTTGGCAAATGCTGCTTCTTGTTCTTGGGTCATGGCTGTGCCTTAGGGAAGCCAGGTTTCTGCTGCCACCCTTGCTCAGAAGAGGCTAGGCAAGGGCTTGGCTGGTTTGGATTCAGAGGGTCTGGGGCATCAAATCTGTGGAGCAGGAGTTGTAGTGGGCTGCTTTCCATCACAATGAGTAGCTGTGGACAGCCAGGGGTCCAGGGTTTGAAGACCTGTTTTACCAGGTGCTTCACTTCAGAGGCCTGTTTTTAAGCTGTTGGAGGAAGAATGTTCTAGGAGAGGAAGGGGGGACATTGATCCATGGCAATACTGCTGTGCTGTCCTGGTGGCTTCCTGAGACAGAAGTCACAGATGAAGGGTGCTGCGTTATACTGAAAGGCCAGGAGCTGGGGGAAGGCTGTGCCAAGCTGGGTGTGGAAGGTGGTGACAGCATTTCAGCAATCAGTATGTGGATGTCTGTCTTTGGTTAATGAAGGGACGTGAGGGCTTGTCTCAGGAGCCAGGGTGTTGCCTGTTTCTTTGCCCCAATGATCATTACGAATTACAGGGTGAAGGCTTTCCCAGCACTCTTGAACCCTTCCGTGGTGCTGGGAAATGTATAATGTAGGGGTGCTAGTTGGGTCTGAAGATGCTAGTGCACATACAGTCAGCTGATGCTTACCTAGCGTATTCTGACAAGTTACCGTTGGATCTTCCTTGTACATCCTGTGACATCCATGTTAGCTGGATTACTCCCTGAATCAGGGGTGACTGACTGCATGGTCAACAGTAATATGCCAATGTAGGCCCAGAAGAAAGTGCCTCTGTACCTAGACAAGTTTGCCATATGGAAGTAAATAATTTGTTTGTTGATATCCTGTTTCTATTTTAGGTAAAATTAGAAGGACTTAAATTAGGGAAAAGAGTAAATCCCTACTCTTACCTACAGTCTTGTTCTCTGCTGATTTAATTGTAGGTAAGAATCCTGTACCTAAACGTTCAGGTTATAAGTGACATGGTCTGTGAGTGTCTTTTCGCCATAGATGACAACTGAACACTGTAATCCGTGTGTTTTTCATAAGATGAGCTAGTCAAAGGAAAAAAACGTACAGTGTGGTCCTTGGATAGAAGAAGAAAAGGATTCCAGAGCAGTGGGACTGTGCATTCCTTCTGGAAGAGGATAAACTGTCTCTTCAGTCAGTCTACTTCCATTGAGATTGGAGCAATAATGTGGGGATGGTTTTGTTTTCTGAGTCATGTGGTATTGTGCATCTCTCTGACACTACTTGGAAAGGTCCACTTCCTATGGAAGCAGGTGTGACTGACAGACTACCTCAGCAGGTGTCATCTAGAAATGATGGTTTCAGTTCCAGAAACGTCCCAGAAACATCTGATTAGTCCCATTTTTCAGCTGCTGTTTGATTAAGGTTTCTCATATTTTTCTCTTCTCCTGCCCTATGCTATTGAAAGCAGTAGGCAGAGATGAATCACCAGGAAAACTGGGAGCCCATTTAGTTAAAAGTGTGACAAGCTGAAAGAGCTGTTATTCTGCATGAATATTTTACACAACATTGTACAAATCATATGATTGTTTCCTACCCATTTTTAAATATTTACTTCCACAAATAATGTTAAACAATATGACAACAATATAGTGTATAAATAGTGTCAATATACTAATAAAAAATCATAACATCTTTCTTATGCCTTTAAAGAAGAAAGCTTTGCAGTTGTCCCTAGTTTAGTAGGAGTTGTCCCTTGTTTAGTGGGAGCTTCAAATTTTAGTTACAGAGTATTTTCAAGTGGAGAAGCGTATTTAAGGACCGCATTGCAACAAGCACTTACAAGTAATGTCAATGTTTTTGCTTTATAAATGGCCAAATTCAAGGTTTTTGTAAGGGATAACTTCCATCAGTTAATGTCTTGCCACATTTACTTCTCTACCCTACTGTGTGAATGGTCTGCTTTATGAACACAGCATCATTCCCGCTGATGAAATAATTGGGACTTTTGTCAGATGCTTCTTCCGTATTTATGGCACTGCATCATGATGTAGCCTCGCTCAGATCTCCCCAAACACATCTCAGAATTCCAAAAGTATGATTTCATTGGCTATGTTCTTAGCTGATTTTGTACAATTCATAAGGGAATGAGATTGCATCAGACCTGTTTTCTGGAAAGGATGATGCCCTTTAGGTGATCTCCTAAGTATGTATCCTCTTTTTGAGAAAATAAAGGATCTTGCAGTTTGAGGTACTGGCATTCTCAAAGCAAATCTCCATATTAAGAGTCTGATACCTGGCGGTGCCAGAGCACACGTAACAGGGCCTCTGCAACTTTCATACTTTCCCTTAAAAATATCCTTGTTGGTAATATATGTAGGCTAACACCCTGGCATTCTATATCTACTCTGAGATATTGTATAATATGCCAGGCTCAATCACCTGTTTCAGTAGAGAAATTTTCCATCCCTGTTACAGCAGGGGTTTGAACTCTCAGCTCTTTGGAGTTTCTTTTATGCTACCTCATGATAATTTTCTATGAATTGCAAACTTCAGTGAGCCTCAAAAGAAAGAGAAGTAACTGAACATCTGGCTCTGAGTGATAGTCCACATGTATATCCACAGTAGAAATGTATGTTGCTAATCACTTTAGACTAGATAACTGTTTATCTTTTGTGTAGTACTGGTTCAGGGTGATACTTCATCTGTATCCTCTTTTCTGTTTGTATAAATGTGACCATCCTCCTTAACGGCTAAATAGGGTAGACTGCTTGCACCACTTCTTCGTTTCCACTCAGACACCTGCAACAAGTGGCATGCTATTCTGCTGATAGTTTTTAAGCTTCATACAAAAAATTGTTCTCTATTTGTTTATCCTCCAGACTAGCCTATACAGCTCCTTAGTGGCCTTTCCAAAGAATTTCATCCTCTTGTTGATGAGAACCAAATACCATGTTCTGATGAGTGTGGGAAGTGGTTTTGCCACCTCAGAGAGGAAGCTGTTCTTAATGTCTGTTCCAGCTGTTCTTCCTAAGTGTATAAGGAGAAAATACTAGGACCTCTACCACTTGTGGAACTTGTTATTTAAAAAGCCTATGAAGGCATCATAGATTACAAGTGGAAAAAAAAACCCAAAAAAACAATAAACCAAAAACATTTCACGTGCCTAAGTGCTGTGTGTTAGTGTGTTGTACAAAATTCCCAAGTGTGGACAGACAGAAAACTTGCATTGGAGAAGAGCTTCTATTGGACTCTGATCCGTTAATGCACATGTGCCCCAAGAACCCATGCCTGTCTAAGTCAGCACTACCCACATCTCAGCACCATCTGCAGAACTGAATCACTTCAGCCAATGTCCTCCTAAGAGATTTATTGTCATGTAATGTCTTTCTCCCTTGCCTCTACTCCATTGCAGCCTAGCAAAGTAGAGGCAGGCTTCATCTGCAAACCTGATGATGTTTTCTGAATCTGCCCTCAAATCTGGAACTACCTTTGGGAGTTTGGTTGGCACGCAGTCCCTAGTACAACAAGCACTTGTCTTCAGCCTTGGACTGCCCCGCTCCCAGTTACATGTTGCTCCCGGTAGCAGTGTCTTCATACAAGGCACCTTTAAGTGCTGCATTCAGTTTAACCAAATAGCCCAGTGTATTGGCCACCATTCTCTTCAGACACCTGTACAGGCAGTGAAGTGTATTCCACAGTGACATAAATAGTTGCTCTTGTTGTTCAGCCTGGAGAAGAGAAGGCTCTGGGGAGACCTTATTGCGGCCTGCCAGTACCTAAAGGGGGCCGACAGGAGAGCTGGGGAAGGACTTTTTACAAGGGCATGTAGTGACAGGACGAGGGGGAATGGATATGAACTGGAAGAGGGCAGGTTTAGATTAAACATTAGGAAGAAGTTTTTCACTTCAAGGGTGGTAAGGCACTGGAAGAGGTTGCCCAGAGAGGTTGTTGAGGCCCCATCCCTGGATGGGGCTTTGAGCAACCTGGTCTGGTGGGAGGTGCCCCTGCCCATGGCAGGGGGGTGCAACTCGGTGATCTTCAAGGTGCCTTCCAACCTAAACCATTCTATGATTCTATATTAAATAGACGTTTTTCATCAACAGTAAATTTCCTTCTTTTGCCAAGGTCTCCTTTAAGCCTCACAGTTTGCAGGGTTCCAAAGAATCATGTGGTACAGTGCCACCCAGAAGTTCATCTGTACTCGACCAAGTGGTATGCTCTCTTGGAAGCCCCAAAGTCATGGCAGTGAAGAAGTTCTGCAGTTTTTGTTTGTGGGAGGGACTTATATTTTCTCCTAGGCAGCTGGCTGCTTTGAGCGTGGCTATTTGGAAATGCCCTCAGTATAAGATTGCTGATGGCCTATGCATTTCAGAAAAAACTCCTGTTGCTAGTATGTGATGTCTCTCTTTGTTTAAGTTGCATTGTCTCTGGTTATGTTCTAGTAGCTTCCCTCTTTCCCCTTGATTTTCTACACAGAAGGATCTGGAGATAGTGGTAGGTGTTCCATCTCTGCTTTTTGTACTGGCAAAAGCTGAAATTGTGTGACTGGGCAGATAACACTTGCAACAGCTCCTTGTCTCAGATGCTACATGTCACATGGAGAATAATAGACATGAATCCATAACTCTTCTTTCTCTTTTTTTGCAGGCTGACAATTTCTGTTCTTAGGGAGACTGTGTTGTAGTATGCATTGAATATTTTAATAGCACCGAGATATGTTACAATGAGTTCTTATTTGAATAGTTGTTTTATTTAGTTTTTCATAGCTGAAAGGTATGGAGCTTTTAGTAACATTGAGATTTCAAGTTGTTCATTGCTAACGTTTCTTGTCTTGGCACAAATTTATCTATTGTCTCACTGATTTCAAAAGACAATGTTATCTTTAATCTAAAATAACTCCAGTTGTTCTTAATGTCATCACAGGTAAAATGTTCCAGTCTCCAGATATCACTCTTATTGTAGAGTTCATATTTATGTTTTATAAGGAGAAACCTATTGATTGGCTTCTGGACCATATCCTCTGGGTGAAAGTGTGTAACCCTGAGAAAGATGCTGTAAGTTTGTTTTTATTATAAAGCTTCTAAAATGTCTTTGTGATGGTGAATGAGTTGGTTTTGGTGAGCTGGAGGCTAGCATACTGTGTATTATGGTTACTGCATGTCCTGAAAGAGTCTTCCTACCAAGATTTTAATCTCAGAAAGGACTTTGGAGAGACAGTTCTCAGAGGCATTGTAACTGTTACTGTTTCAGACTGTGGAGATGGATGCAGTAGGATGAAAATCAAAGCTCTAGTTAGTTTCTGTGTATAACAGTCCTAAAATAAACTTATTCACATAACCCCCACTGAGGCTCTGCAGAATGCCAGTGCTTGGATAGCAGTCATAGGGAAGGTTCCACACAGGGAATAAACTTTGGATTTTGGTCCTTCATTTCTCAAGTAGCACTCTTACTGAAAGACTGAATAAACAGGTTCTGTGCAAGAACAGCATTATATTTGCACAGCAGTCTTGGTGGATTTCTGGAATGAAAACAAGAACAACTGGATAAATAGGTCTGGGTTCTTGTTGAGTCTTTTTGGTCCATGTAACGTCACATACTTGCAGTAGAAACTCAGCAATCTTGTGTTGGTTTTACTAATGCATTTTTTTTTTTTTTTAACCCTCTTCCCTTCCTCTGCCCCCATTTCAGAAACATTGTGATCGACAGAAATCTAACCTACGGATACGCTTCAGGCCTTCTCTTTTCCAGCATGTTGGCCTCCACTCCTCTCTAGCAGGGAAGATCCAGAAACTCACAGTTAGTAGATAAAATTTGCCTTCCTTTCCAGAGCAGGCTGATTAAATGAAAAACTTCGTAGCCTTGAGAAAACAGACATTTTCTTGTTGTCTGGCATTTTCAAGTATGTTGTATATTGCTGCAGTTGGAATGAAATCTGGTTTAAACTGGTTACTATGAAGTATAAGAGGTGCTAATCTCAGTTTATTTTTGTGGATTTTTGCTATGGGATATTTTTTCTATTTTTTTTTTTTTTACTTTAGTAGCATGTTCACCTTATCAGTACAAGTTCTGATACACCCAAAAATGGGTAATGCATTCATTTTCCATTTTGTGCAAGCGTTTGTTTTAAGTGTAACCACTTGGGAAAAGAACATAATAAAACAGGTTATCTGACCAGCATGATGTTTGTCTTTCTTTCAATTAGGATAAAGACTTCCTGAAACCATTACTACATAAAATCCACGTGAATCCACCTGCAGAGGTTTCGACATCTTTAAAAGTCTACCAGGGGCATACGCTAGAAAAAACCTACGTAGGGGAAGATTTTTTCTGGGCTGTCACACCAGTTGCTGGGGATTATATTCTATTTAAATTTGACAAGCCAGTCAATGTAGAAAGGTTAGTAATTATTTGCCTTTGGTCTCTTATCTAAAGCTGCTTGTTTGCCAAGAATGCTTGAAGATAGAATTTGGGGCTGTCATTATAACCTAAAGTGAAATGATGTAGGGTCTTTGGAGTTCAGTTGAAACGATGATCATTAGTGTCTTCCCTCTAATTCTTTTACTACTGTAATTTTTGTCTTACTCTTTTTTTTTTTTCTTATAATTTATTTATTTAATCCAGACCCTTTTTGATAAATGCAGTTCAAAACTAGTGATTCTCTGGAAGTTCATATGAGAATTTAAAAGAAGCCAATTTGATTCTACTTGTATTTGGTTGGTCTGCTTCTAATTACAGAGCAATTGTACAGCATGGTGTGTGGTACAGTATGTTGTGCCCTGCAGCCTCGGTCCCTTGATTGTCCAGATCAGAAATCTTGCTGGAGCATATCACGATGTCCCCAGACCTGAAAGCTGGGAACTCTGAAGGGTAATGTTTTTTAGATGTAGCTTTAGGGCTTGAAAAAAGTCACCATGCTAAGAATCCAAGTTGACCTATTTAAAAAAATTAAAATCTAACAAAAAAAAAAAGCGTGGGGGTGTGTGGTGTCCTTGAAATACAAATCTCCGTGATTTGTTAGACTAAAGGTGACTTCTTTTTAGCTACTAGTCAGATTAAATAAGGATAATGGAGTTTGTGCTTTAGAGTGTAGTTATCCTTTAGTTTTATTGAGACTCATTTGCTGCTTTGCTTCTTACTGTCTTACCAACGTAGTAGTCCAAAACATATAAAATAAATTGTTTATTTAGTGTCTATTTAAGTGTTGCTATGTTAGTGGATTCCTTTTCTCTCTTCTTCACATGCCTTATGTGTTCTTTTGAGACTAGTACCTATAGTCTGGTAGAGCAAAGTTTCTTTGAATCAACTTGACTTGATGCTTTTCTTGTGAAGCAGCCCTTTCTGCAGTCCTGAACTGAATCCAATCAGTCAACTTTTGTGCCTTGGTAGATAATCAAAGGCTAAGTCTTCACCTTGGCTTAGCACAACAGTGAGGAACAGTAGTTTCCTTGTTACTATGTTATTCTAAACTAGTCTGACCTATGAAACTCAAATTTGTCATTTGACATGTCAAATTACTTTTTCAGTTGATTCCTATGCTTTAAAAGACTTTCCTGGTTAGTTTTCCAAGATGCGTGTGTTGAGGAATCTGACTGCCATACCTCCTTGGATTAAAGGCAGAATCTTTTTTATCCTGTGCCAATAGTTTAAAAAAATGACATATTTTTCAACTCAGATGTATGAATTCATTGATTTCTTTTTGATAAAATTTTCCTTTTCAAAGTTATGAAGTAAACGTTGCCCAATTTGTATGTTTGATTTTGGTGATTTTTTTTTTAAAAAGAATTATATGTATCTACGTTATGAATAGGGTAACTGTAAGCAGCAAACGTAGATCTTGGGTGCATAAGGATGCGTCAAATGCACAATGGCAATTTTGTAAAGCATTGCTAGCAAGTGTCATAAGTCAGCACTGTTATTTAAAAAATGGCATGCACAGGTCTGAAGAAAATATTGTTTGATATGTATTACCTTAATGGTGAGGGAATTGCGGGAAAGAGAAAGTACTAATGATCTGTGCAAAAGGTGGGAAGATAGTGTTCACTATTGTACCCTGGAAAATTGTAGTTATGCCTTAGGTAGTTGCATCTACCTGCTGTGTTAAGAACAGTCCCAGCAGTAGAGGATGATGTTGTTATTTCTATTTCTTGAAGAAATGCATTTTAGTTTTAGAAGAAAGGGAACATCTTATATTGTTGCTTCCCCAAAGGAAGTCCACCAATTAGAATGATGCTACCTGTTCAAACTTAAGTTTAACATTGTTTGAGTGTAAGCCATTTCAAAGTTCATGATTTTGGCTTCTATTGGCACAGTATCCTCAAAAATGCAGTATTTTGCCTTTCTGAAGTCAGTGGCTGATTAGGGCTACAGATGTTGTAATTTCAGGTTGTTGGGGACTTGGTTTTGTTTGTCTACTTAACTTCAGCAGCAGCAGATTCTGATAGGTGAAGGGCAAGTGAAGCAATGAGATTTCCTGATATTTCAAGGATGCTTGCTGAGGCAGTCAAAAATAAAACTGTGATTGTGGGTTGAAACACAGGAAAGGGAAAATTGACCAAGCATTAGGACTAGGACGACTTACCTGGTGGGGAGATATATATGATTGTCAGAATTAAGAGTAGAAAATATGCTTTTGAAAACCATCTTGTGTTTGTGAGGGGATGCAACAGGTTTTTCCTTTTTTTTTTTTTTTTTTTTTTGCAAGTAATAGAAAAGCTCTTTGAATTTACAGAAAATTTTGTCTGCCAAGTCAGTTTGAGGTATAGCTGCTTAATAACTCCCATAATAAATTCTTGATAAACAAACTTTCTAATGGAAATATTGACTGCAACTCTTGACGGAATGAATGGCAGGTCTGTTACACTGTGACAGAGCACTAGCTTGTTCTTATAGTTTATTTTTCTGTGCTGAACTGAATTTAAATTTTCTGCTGAGTATAGCAGTTCAGTAATTAGCTTTCATTAAGTCTTAAAATATTTCATTATTGAGATATGAGAATACTGTCAGGGTTAACACTGGCAAGGATCTCTTAATAGTTTAAAGTTAGAACTGAGCTTTGGTGAGCAGAAAGTAACATTTGTGGCTGTTTTGTGCAAGACCTAGCTGGCAGATCCCTGCTGAATATTGATGTGTAAATTGAAGTTGTCTAATGCTCATTTTAGTAACAGCTGTTGTACTGAACCTTTTTAGTTTTTTGCCAAGCAAAAGACCTCCAGCCGCAACATTGAAGTCCCTTAATAGTAAGCTATGCACATGTCTTTCAGTATCATATCATTGACAATTAAATTAGATCCACTGACTTTCCCCTTAAAAACAGATTGCACAGCAGTCTTGAGGGTGTGGTTTGATATTGTTTTCTTGGGGTTTTTTGTTTGTTTGTTTTTAGATAAATGGATGGACTGTTTTGTAAATGCTCAAAACAGCCTACATTTTAAAGATAAGAAAAACTGAATTTTTGTTCCCTTAGGTTGTTATATAATTATTGAAATCCACTTTGCTATATTGGTATGTACGCTATTGTTCCAAACACATATTTAATTATTAAAACTGACAGTTATATTTTAGTTTCTTTATGAAGCATACATTATTACTAGTTTAATGCTAGTACTGAATCTAAATTCATTTTCCTCACTATAAATAACAGATTCAAGATACTTCTTTTCTTTACTAGTTAATCTTTTTCTTCAGAGATGTCAGCAAGGAATCTTGTATCCAGCAGCTCGTTGTGAAGAGCTTTTGACTTTAGACGTTTCTTTGTTTGAGGGTTTTTTGTATGTAGGAAGCTCTGAAATACTGGTGGATGAGTAGTGAAACTTGAATGGGGTAATAAACTTCGAATGTGATCCTGGTTTAAAAAACAAACAAAACCAAAGCACATCCCAGAAAGATGTTCCATTGCAGCACTTAAGTGATTCTGGTGTCCATCATCCGCACAACCATCTCTTTTTGACTGCCTAAGTTTCAGAGTGCTCCCAATAGATGTGATTGACACAAATCAGATATTCTTGTCAAATAATGTGTACTAATTACATTGCGAAAACCCTTGGAAGTGCATAACCTATGGCTGTTTTAATTAGATTGTGTTTACACTTGTCAGCTTTTCTGCAATAAGAATTTAGAATGGATATTTATAAAAAGGGCTTCAGGTTTCTTTCACTATAAATTGCTTTCAAATGCTGATCTCTTTTTTTTTTTTTTTTTTTTTTTTTTTAAAAAGCTGCAGGAAAAGACAAGTATTTATTTCATACTGTGGAAAGGAAAAAAAAAAACACCAAAACCACACGCCCCCCTCACCAGTATATATATCTAAATTTGCTTTTTTATTTTTAAATATGAGGCTTGTCCTTTCTTGTATGTAACTGCTTGATAATGTTACTTTGAGTATTTTCAAAAGGATTAGCAGAGTTTGGGTTTTTTGGGGGGTATTTGGTTTTTGTTTGTTTGAGGTCGTCCCCCCCCCCCAGCTCTGCTTTTAACTCTCTAGTTGCCACATAGTTGTGTTGCTCGAGTTATCGGGTAGTCATCCTAATGTGATATTGATTATTAATAAAGTGATTTTATGAGGTAGAGCTTGCTAACTGGAATTTCAGCTTTAAAGTGAAATCTTAGTACTTTGACAAACCAGCTTGTAGATTACACTTACTACTTTATGTTCTGATACTGGATGTGCAGAATTTGAGGCTAATCATCTAATTTTCCATATTGTTGACCCTGAGATCCCAGGGAACATGTGATGTTAACCTCATGTACATTTCCCGTAGCATCTTCTCACAACACAGATTTCCCACTCACACAAGAAATATATATTTGACTATGTAAGCTAGAAAATCAATGTATTGAGTGTGAAGAGTATCTTGTTGGGCTCCCGGTAACTAAACATATACATTACTTTCTCCGCTTTGAAATTATTGTGACAGCGATGAAAAGGACCTGTATAAAAAGTGACAGTTGCTTGCCTGTTATTACTGCCACTTCATTGTAAAGGAAAATAAACGCAGCTTTTAAAACAGGTTCTCTGGCAGTGAAAACTTCAAAGGAATTTAAAGTACAACAGAGTTACAAAAAAAATTATCATAGTAGTTGGTCATGTATGTATCTAAAATGTAGTTAATTATCCATCCTATGGGATGCAAGTCTGCTTGTGGGTAGAGGTACACAAGATCAAATGCATTACAAAGGAAAAAAGACTAACAGCTTTCCAAAACTGGCAGTGAAGTGGAACTTTCTCATCACTTGCTTTTGCAGTAACAACCACTTAAAACCAAAGGAACTGCGAAATTGTTTGGGTTTTAAATTAGTACAGCAGTAACTTGACTGATGTATAATCTGTTCTTTGTTCGTAATGACTGTTCAGTGTAGAAACTCTCCATCAACGCAATGCAATGCATTCAACCTTTCTT